TTTTATGGCAGTGGGCAGCTGTTAGTATAAACTGTGGATGAATAATTGAGCCACCGCACCATGTTTTATAAGTTAAATCAGAGCCTATTTGTTTTGTATATCCAAATGATGTCATCCAAGGAAACTCATGTGGTGTAGCCTCTTTACCGCCTATTATTTTAGACTCAATTGGATTTTTGGTGCCGCAATGAGGGTCGTTTTTAGCTGTGATTAAAGGAAAAATTAAAATTAAAAAACAAAATGCAAAAAAATGTTTCATTTTTTTGATAAATGTTTTGTGTAAAGTTTTGAAAAACGGGGGTTTTACCCAAGTTTTTTACTTTATATATAAAAACTAAACAAAAATGCTAATGCAAAAACAAAAACTGCAAAACTTAATGAACCAATTTAAAAATACAACTTCAAGTTTTGTTTTAACCTTCTGCAAATAACAATTTAACCTTTTTAACTTGTGTTATTTTTGTTTTTATTTTAACCTTTGTGTTGATCAATTTAAAAGTTTTCATTTTTTATGCCTCATTTTTATTTATGTAATCAAAATCTAAATGCTAAAGGATTATGAGTAAAAACCAATTTTCCCAAACTTGTCACAATAAATGAACAAAAAAATACAAAAATAAAATTCACAAAAAACATTTTTTATTTGTATTATTTGGCTAACCATTGTTATTACAAATTACTACAAAAATCATCGTTTTAATGTTTATCATTATCACCATCTTCACTCATTCTTCACTCTCCTTCACCGTGTCCCAGATCCAATCGGAGAAGATGGACACGTGGGCGTACATGTAGGGGTGTTTTACTTCACCGCAGTCCTTGCCCTGAAAGTAGCTGGCGGTGCCCACCACCATCCACTTGCCGTCCTCATCCTGCAACATCAACGGGCCGCCCTCGTCTAACTAAAAAAGAGGTAAAAAATGACATGACATACAACAAAAACCTTATCACCACTACCATCCTTACCATGCAGGGACTGGCGCCCACCTGGTAGGTGCAGATCATGCTGTTCTTGCTCTCTTCCGGCAGGTCGTACATCTCCACGCACTCGTCCATCGAGTTGACCGGAAGTGACACCTTCAGCAGCACCTTTGAGGAGGTGTACAGCTGGTTGCTGGTCAGGCCCCAGCCGACGACGGTGGCCATCTGCCCTTGATAGGGGTTATAGTCGTCGTTCTGGTCGGGCACGCAAATTAGTCCTAAGTCGGGGTTGTTCTCAATGTCCAGCGGTTCACGCAGTTTTATGAGGGCGATGTCGTTCAGGCGATTTCCCGTTTTCTCGTCGTAGGAGTAGTCGGGATGAGCGATTACCTCTCCGAGCAATTGGGTGATCTTTCGCGGCTCTGCAGCCCCAGCGCTGACATTGTGGGCGGCTAAAAATTAGCATAAAAAATTTTTTAACAAAATAAAAAAAATCAAAAAATGTTTAGAAAATCTGCTGCAATTTTTTTTCTTACTGACCAAAAATAAGGTACGGATCTGATTCATTGTACGCACTGGCCTCCTTGGCGCACTTGGCCGAGGTGAGGACAAACTGCCGGTGGATGATGGAGCCGCCGCACATCGGCTGGTAATTTTCCTCTCTCAGCAGTGTTGACGCGCTGTGGTTGACGCCCAGTGACACCGTCCACGGCCATCTAAACACAGATTAGGAGAAAAAAGTAGAGTTAACGTTTAGTTTTTGTTTTACTTTTTTTGTGTTGATTGTCATCGTACTCATAAGGAGTCGCCTCCACGCCTCCGATAATTTTTAATTGCGCCGGGCCGTTTGTGCCGCATTTGGGATCATTTTGGGCCAGTACAAAAGCAAATGAAACCGAGCAAAATAGTGCAGAAAAATAAAGTAGTTTCATTTTATTTAAAAAAGTTTTTTATTTGGTTATCCGTTGTGGTTGTTGATTTGTATTTGACCAGCTTTACCTGAGCAGACCTGTTTTTTATACACAGTAAAATTAAACAATAAAAAGTTTTAACTGTAATGAACCAAACTCTACACTAAACGGTGTTGAACCAAAGCCTTGCTTTGCAAACTGAAACAAAATCCTATTAACCCCAATTTACAACTGCTAATTGCCTAAAAA